GTTCTTTATTGGTATCGTCGGAGTAGTCTTTGCTGGGTGATTTAGGAGTTGTTTTTGGGTCATGAGGGTGATAAAAGTCTGTTGGTGTTTGCGTGATTGGTGGGTGTGTCGAAATCTATGTGCATGGAAGTGAAATGTGCATAGTGAAATTTACAATGAGGATGTTTGGCCACACATTAGCGTTAATGAGTTGTGAGAAGTGAATCTATGTTACGAGTAGTTGGGGAACAGGGTTCAAAAGTCTAGGTATTACAGTGTGGACTAATGGTGTCAGTATCATATTCGGGATAAAGCTCCCATTAAACTTCGATAATAATCTAAAGGTTGTGACGCCCAAATATTTAATGAGAGTTGATTATTGGGAGATGGAGAGCCCTTAGCAAGTAAACTTGGTAAAGGAATTTGATGAGAGGTTGGTAAAAAAGATGTTACCTCAATGGTAGTTGCAGATCGGATAGTAACATTAATGATGGAAGCTAACGTCTCATAAGAATATAGTTAGTGTGACATAGTTGTCGTTCTCATATATGGTGTCGATTGTTGATGGCATTTTTTAATATTTTAACCAAAAAAAAAGAAATCAAATTAAATGAAAGGATAATTGTAATCTACAATCAAAAAATACGATCAAGAGGTGCCAAAATTATTACTTCAAGACGTGCTCCAATACTCCAATCAGTATATTACCTGAGATATATTATAGGAATAAGGCAAATAAAAGGAAAAAGATGGTGAAGTGTTCTCTAAAGAAAATGAGTCTTAGGCTTCCTTCTACCTCAGTTATCTTGTGTATTTGGTTTTTTCTTCACCTTTCATATAAGACAAAGAGTCATGATCTTACTAAGATGATTGACAATTGAAAAAATATTTATATAAAACTGCAAAAGATCTCATAAAAATAAATAAAAATTATATTTAATAATCTCAAATAAATATAAACTATATTTAATGAACTTAAAACGTCATTCCATCGTTCAGAGATACAAAACAAATTGGTGGCCCATTTATCAGTTTCGGGGTGACTTCCCAAGTAGGTGACAAGCCATTCTCTTAGAGTAGGTGACATACCGTTTAGGCGTGCCTTATCTAAATTCCTGAGAGCCTTAGTACGTTGACTGAGTTTCGGTCATTGATTGGTTGACTTTGAGGTAATATGGAGAAAACTCCTAAACAAATTATAGGAAAGACTGAATTCCAGGGCCTAAAGCTAAGCTCTTAGCCATGCACATAGCTCATAGCTGCAGCTATAAATTGAAACAAGCAGCTCATGGATTATCTCCAGTCCTTTTCTTCTCAATTCTCAGATATTTCTAATAATTTATTCAGTATTTAGTTCACTCTTTTATTTAAATAGTTTCTAAAAATTTCACGAACCTTTGTGATCGTAGCTAGGTGCAATGTATTGGGTGCTAAATTCAATAAGCAAATAATTAAGAAAAAAAAATATCGAGTATATCAAGCAGTTTGAATTGTGCTGTTTAACAATACACTTTTTATAGTTTCTACATGTTTTAGGATTAGCTTTTCATCAATAACTTTTCAAGTACGTTTATATTCTCAACTTTTTCTACGAATTCTTTCATTCTTTGGGAATTTGCTTTTCCGATTTTTGGCTTCGTCACGTAATTTTTCCTTATCTAGAACTAAATATCTGGCATCAATCCCAATCTTGAACTGATCTCTCTACTTTCATTTCGCCTTCTTTTTTGGTTTTTGACCATGAACATATATCTTTTGGAAATTCCATGCATGCCACAAAAATGAAATGGAAAGTCTCAAAACTATTTAATTTTGTTATCTGCCACATTTTAATATGGAAGACTCAAAGGAGTCCATCTGAGCTTAACTAAGGACTGAAACAATTAAAGGGAAGTTTGATGAGTGCTGGTGATTAAGGAGATAGAAATGGGGGGCATGATAGAGAAATTTATTGAAGAGTTTTGAACATAAATGGTCAGTTTTGTTTTAAATGTCAAGTGGAAGGAAAGCCGGTGATGATGAATCGATCTAGAAGAAAGAAAAGAAGAGCAAGTTGTGGGTGGGAGTAAGAGAAGTAAGGCTTAGAAAAGATCATTACAACATGGGGAGCTCATGTTCATGCGCGTGGATGATTATCCAAATGGATCACTCAAAAGGTCCAAATCTACCAATCATACCATACAAAACAATTTAATCCCAGGTCTGACCGGGCCCCAACTCAGACTTCCACACGACTCGTACCTGACTACCTGAGGATCATGTGCTAAACCCCTCCAACTTGTTCTTGTTTATACTAATTTCTACCCAGAAAAAGAAAAAGCAAAAGCAAAAAATTAAATTTTCATTAATATAGAGCAAGGGTCCAAGCTTTTGTCTTGAGTACTGGTTAAAGACAAGATAGAAGATCACGTTAAAGCAGCAAAAGTGAGAGGAATGGTAAAACAAACACGGCTGCTTTGGAACGAGAGTAAACGTAGGTAGCTGCAACTTCTTTTCCTGCTACTTGCTTAATTTTTATCTATACAAAAAAATAAAATGTATTCAATTTTTGGCCAAATAATAGGCTGAGACCTGAGAAAATTAATGACAAGAATTTTCCCCGCTTATTATTATTATTTTTCAGTCTGCACCTGGGTCGGTTTGAATGCTTATCTTATCCTTCGGCTTACGACTCTCCAGCAAGTTGATTGTCTATATTTGCCTAATCTCTTCTATTTTTCAAATCACTTTAGCTTTTGACCCTCTCTTTCCTACACATTTACGAAACATGGCACTCTCTGAATTGACACTCATGACCTTCCGCTAACGACCATTGTTGCCAAACCGGCTTATTTCTTTTCATCTACTGGCCCTTTTCTTCTAGTTCACTTCTTCTACAAAGATGGATATTTCGGTTAAACAGTTCGAAACTATATCTACTACAACTATCAATTTCATATGATAATGGACCACCTAAAACATTTTACATCTTTCAATAATTACATTTTATCCATCTCTTATTACAGCTCTTTTTTACTTCTATATATATATATATATATATATATATATATCTATATCTATATATTTGCTTTAGGACCACTTATCAATTTGCATCAAGTAATGGTCATGGCAGCTTGAGACAAGCTCATTTTTTGGAAAAGTTTATAGGTGAAATTTATGAAATTTTTATTAAAAATTGTTTAATAAAAAATTTTAATAAAATATTTAAATTAATAGATTGATAAAGTTCAATTAAAAGATCAATAATATGTAACCAAATATTAATAAAAATGCAGTTTATAATTAAATTTGATCAATGTTTATGTAATAGTAAAAATTTTATTAAAATTTTTACTAAAAATGTTTATCTAAAAAATATCAAAAACTTTTAAAATTTATATACTTGATTTATGTAATAAAAATTTTCAATCTATCAATTCGACTTTTAATTTTAATTTTAATTTAATTGATTTTAATAAAAAAATTTATAAATTTTATCGAACAAACTTGGAATAAGACTTCTCTTATTTTTTTCGCCTATGTTGTTGGACACGACCTTCTAGGGTGGGAAAATGAGATTAATTCCTCTATATTTATTCTCTTTTGTCCAATCAATTGGTAATAGTAATTTCAAATGCAACTACAATCACTCGTTTTAAAATGCCAAAAAGACAAATAATTAAGTAGTAGATAGGCAAATAAATGGACCATAAATAATATATGATGGTACATAGCTTTCATTAAACATAGGTTGAAATTCTAATTTCGAATTTTAAAACTTCGCCCGCATTAAAATATTCTTTAGAAAAAGTAATGACTCAAGTTGGTGATCAGTTCCTAATGTCATCCTTTTCCATAAAGCAAAAATGGTAGTAATATTTAATTCATTACTTTTGATTTTGTTAGATGAATAGGTAAAGAAACAATTTGTACGTTAAATTAAGTTATCTCTTCGATCCTTTTGCATTGGGAAAATATTATTCTTTTCTCTCAAATTTTTATATTTTTAACATAAAATATAATTATTGATTTGATTCTAATATTTCATTATGAATTAATTAATTTATTCATGAATTCATAGACCATACATTGGAATTTATCCAAAACTTATATACCATGTCAGAGAGTATAATAATTTGATATAAAATTGAGAGAATAAGTTATGTTACCGTTTATAAATTTGTCGATTTATATATTCGTAGTTTTTAAAGTATCGACGATTTGTGTATTTATATAATATTTTATATAAAAATTATAAATTTAATTAATATTAACACGAAAAATATAAAATATATTTTTTATTTTTATTAAACTCATTTATGATTTTTATTAAAATTTTAATTTGTATCGTCTTTACATCTTTTTCATATCATTTTTATATTGTATCATCATATTATATTTTAAATTATCAAGTTTAAGTATTTACATTTACTAGTCTTTATAATAAATGGCTAAAATAATAGACAAAAGCTCTTAAATTTTATCACTTTATTTATATAAGCTTTTATACTTTTATTACACCCAAATAAATACTTAAACCTTAAAATTAAAATAGTTTAAAGTCTTTTTAATATTTTAGCCATTATTTTTGTTTTAAAGGTTTTTTTTTTGCTAAAATAACAAAAAATTCCTATATTTTATTATTTTATTTAAATAAATCTTAATACATTTATTGTACTCATAATCATTTTTAATTTTTAATATATATCTAAATATATTTTATTTTTTAATTTATATCCAAATAACCCTTTAACGTTTAACTGCCGTTCTTCCTAGGGTTCTATTTATTAAAAAAAAAAAAAAGAAATTTTGGGTAGTTTAGCAATCTCGAAACATTGAAACATAGGGAGGGAGAAATCGGTAACTTTAGGAGCGGGTATGAACTCTTTAGAAAGTCCAACAAAACTCTGCTCATAACATCACCCACCGGAAGAACCTCCTCTTCCTAGTTGGAAAGCGACTAACCCAAACACCTTCCCCATCTCTCCACCTATATATACATATATATATATATAGATACATACATACTCTCTTGCTCCTTGCAACGCTAAATAATGATACTATTCAATATATACCCTTTCTCCAACAAAACAGCACAGTAAATATGCCTCCAAATTCATCCTTCTTGCTCCATAGGATCCACAATAACACCCCCAATACGAACTCCACCTCCACCACAACTATAGCTACAGCTGATAATTCCTCCATGCTTTGCCAAAAGCGGTATCCTTTAACATGCACCATGCCTGTCCCCGACACCGTTGCTCGCCACCATACCCACCCTGTTGGCCCCAATCAGTGCTGCTCAGCCGTCATCCAGCAGATCGCGGCCCCTGTCTCAACTGTCTGGTCCGTCGTTCGCCGCTTCGATAACCCACAGGCTTACAAGCACTTCGTGAAGAGCTGTCACGTCATCGTTGGGGATGGTGAAGTTGGTACCCTCCGTGAAGTCCACGTCATCTCGGGCCTCCCGGCCGCTAGGAGCACGGAACGCCTCGAGATCCTTGACGACGAGCGTCATGTTCTCAGCTTCAGCGTCGTCGGTGGAGACCATCGACTAGCCAACTACCGGTCGGTGACGACCCTCCACCCTTCGACTGCCGGGAATGGAACGATGGTGGTGGAATCATACGTGGTGGACGTACCGCCGGGGAACACCAAAGATGACACGTGTGTGTTCGTGGACACCATTGTTCGGTGCAACCTGCAGTCACTGGCTCAGATCGCAGAGAATCTCGCCAGACGCAAATAACAAACATCGAAAGGAAGCCATTTTCGTGAGTGAAACTCTTCATCAAAATAGATTAATTCTCTCCCTCTCTCTCTCGCATGCTTTTTGTAAAAAAAATCTTTGGTGATACATCGTCGTTTTTGTAAGTATCCGATAGTTGGGTTGCCGATGGAACATCTCATCACTGCCAAGTTCATGTTTATCGATTCGCCTGATGATCAGCCTCTTTTGTTTTTACTCTTTCTTTTTTTTTCTTTAATCTGGAAATTATTAATAAGAATACACACACCACTTCATTGTTAAAAAAACATATTAGGCCTCCACTATTTTCTGTCGTCATTACTGGCCGGCTGTTCTCTCCAGTTTGCATAGTATAGCTTATAAAATTTAGACACTAGAATAAAAAACTAAGATATATATAGTTTAAAATAGTTAATCTGATATCAAAATGGATGGATCGCCAATTTTGGGGAGATACTTGGTATTATACCAGGGTAAAGCTATAATAAAATACGTTAACGTGAAAGATGGTACTGTGCTGCATTAGACAGAAAGAGATGACCATTATAAATGGCAGTGTTCGTTTGAAAAACAATCTGCATGCGGAGTGAGGTTTTTAACGTTAAGGTTTCCATGTCAAAAGGGAAGGTCTTGAATTTCATCATCCAGGAGTTGGAACGTTTCTGCCGATGGTCCACAGCCTATCATCCGGTTTCGGTACAACAAAAAGTGTAAAATCTTTTTGGGGTTTGAATTTTTAGAATGGGAAAGGGCCGGTCTTGGCGACAAAGACCAAATACCTCGCAGGACCACGAGGAGCATGTGTTTTGCTCAATGTAAATTCAAGAAGATGGTTACATGCGTGCACATGATGTGCTAAGAGATTTTGATTCACCTGAAATTGGAGCAAAAGGAAGTTCTTCTTTATGGAATATTAGAGCATGGGAACTATATATGGTAAAAACTTGGGTGCTTTTGCATATCACAGTGGAGGTGAAGGGGTGCGTTTCTTTTTTCTTCTTAACAGTAAATAGGAAATGAAAATCATGGCAAATGAGGCGCACGTTTGCAGTTTATGGGCAGATAAGAAGATGAATTTTCAAAGGGTAAGTCAGCACTCATGCGGTTCACATCGTTTTCATTAGACGGTGCTCACCGGAACATGAATTGCAGCAGGTCCAGTAAAACCGCCGTTCAATTATTACTTGCTTGCATCTTGGTCTGGGGCTATAAAAATTTTATCCTCTGATCTGATAAAATGGAATTATTATGATTAGGGGGTTGTTTGAATTTTTCAATGGTAAAAAGTTGGTAAAAGATGCTCGCCTAATGTATCAGCGCAAGAAGTCAATTCAAATGAAGATTGTTTTTTTCTTCAAGGCAGGAGCTGAAAGGGCTGATAATTCAAATATGTGGTAACATATATGAATACTAGTATATTGAGAAGCAAGAAAACAAAATAAATCTGTACAATGGGATGGGGCCGGCGAAGTAACCAACAAATTTCCGGTAGTTGCATTAAAATACTAATAACGTGAAGGGAATCCAACCGCTGCCTCTCTCTCTCTCTCTCTCTCTCTCTCTCTCTCTTTGCTGCAACTTGACTTTGATAACTCAACTCAACTCAACTAGTTGCATGTTAAAAGAAAAGATAGATGCAAGTTCCAAATTGTTTTCCTCTTTCTTTATTTGTCTTTCTCTCTCTCTATCTGTTAAAAGAAATGCAACTTGCGCTCTCTCTCTCTCTCTCTCACATATGGCGAGAGTTTTGAATGGGACGTTTTGTAATTTGCAAGTTGGGGTGCAAGTGGAAAAGAAGAGGGCATGCTTTTTAATGATCCCGTGTACTGTTGTCTACTTTTGAATGAGTTCACGCCACCCATCCTCTCCCCTTCTCTCCGCTTCTTCATCAGCCAGTTTCTTCTTTTACGCTAATTTTTTTTTTCAATATCTGCCTGCCATCACCATTCGCTTCCATATTTCTATGTTGTTGGTGCTGGGGTGAGCTGCTAGGGTAAAATCTTGAAATCAATAATAAAGAGAAAGAGAGTGATTAAAGGTAATGGTTGGGAATGGTCCCAACGTTTGTATTTCAATATTCAAATCACAAATCAACAAAAAAAAAAAATGAGAAGAAAAAGAGAGTGAGATAAATTAAAGAAAGTCAGATGGTGAAATGATACTTAGACGATCCTAGTTATACTTGTAAAAAAAAGGGACATAAGCAACCCAGGCTACCCTAGGTTAGCCCTGTAGTTCAAAATGATCTGACAGATCGAATTGACTTGAATGTTGACCGTCCAATAAGGGAAAAACAAATCAGCATTTAGGGAGACTTACTAGGTAGATCGATAAGGTGGCTAGGTTGATGTGGCCCAATAAAATTAGGTCGACTTGATATATCAGCTCAACTTAATAGTCTAAAATATATTTAACTGTCTGTTGATAATTTTTAATAAGAAAAAGAAACTATTCTGCCCTCTGGACTTAAAAATGCCTTTTACATTCTATCTTTTAACTGAGCAATCTAAGTATCAGACTAATGAGTATTGATTGAGTCGATTTGATATGAGCATTGAGTCGATTTGATATGTACTCAGTAATGCTAAGCTTAAGTCAATCCGCATGGGTTTTAAGAATTTTGTTCAGTTGGTTCAATATGAAGTCACTGAGGTGGACAATTGAGAATGCCAATGTGAGCAAAGGTCAAATCAAGCAGGCCTATGGACAGTTGTTGACATGTTTTGTACATCTGATATCACGTATGGTTGTAATTTGCTATTTCATTATTATGTTGATTGATGTGAGACTTATGGGTTTTTATTGTTTTTGAATTTCTAATGTTAGTACATGACTGAGTAGACATGTTAAAGATATTTAGCTGATTTAAATAGTTTTTTTCTAAAATGACCATTGTGCCTTTTCTGCATTTAATTAAGGGAGAGAAAATTAGGTAGTAAAATAAATTTAATCAAAGAGATATTATGTTGAATTAAAATATAGCTTAAAAAAATTTTATGGTCAAATTGACATGACTCTATTATAAAATGTCAAATCAAAATATTGTTTAATATGAAGAATTATAATTTTTAGAAACATAAATAATGATTTCTCTTTGTATGAAAAGTTTAACTATTCAAATGAACAAATATATCTGTAATCTTTCAAAAAGACATGATTTTATTATAAAAAGATTCAAATCAAAAGATTGCTTTATATGAAAAATTATAATTTTCATAAACATAGATATTGATTTCTCTTTGTATGAAAGTTTAACTATTTAAATGAACAAATATGCATATAATTTTTTTAAAAAATATATTTCTAACTGAAAAAAAATGTGATTTTTTATTAAAACAACAAAGTCAAAGAGTCACAACTTTAGATTAAAGATTAATGTGGATTCATGTAATACCTAAGCCCAAGTTATTATAACTTAATCAGTGACCCAGCCTATAAGTATCATTAGTTAAAAAAAAAAACTAAAAGAGAAGAAAATAAAAAGAAAACTTATCGATAGTTTTTGTATATAGTTTTCTCTAACATAAAAAAGAGGAAAACTTTAAGACATGCTCGAGAAGAATAAGAGAGGAAAAGATAAATCAATCCTAGAAATAATTGATTAAAGTAAGATTTTATTTATAACTCTTGGAATTTTCCTGTTTTATGCAATTTTTTACAAATTTCAACATATGTTTTTATATCTTTTCATTTTAAAAAATATTTCGACGACTTTCCGATGATAATCTGACGAAATTGTAGGTATAAATAGAAATGTCTTTTCAAGATCTTTCTAACGGTATGTGTGGCACTTCATTTAATTAAATAATTTAAGAGAATTTATATTTAAAAATTTTTATTTATAAGTTTCTGACAATTACCAATACCTAACTTTGAGCTGTTGGAACTCCTTACTTAAGTGGTCGATTTGGTAAAAATTTAAGTTTTTTTTATAGTACAAAATGTGAACTTTCTAGTGATATAATTAGTTTGTTCAAATGATTTATAGGCTGAGAGAATCAAAATCTCAAAGTAAGCTTTATAAATCTAAAACTCAAAAAATCTAGGCTATCTGTGATAATTTACAAAGTTTTAACCTCTGAAACTTAAGCTTCTAGAAATCATTTTTGATGAAACAAAATTCTATGTTGTAGTGTTATATTATTGCTTTAAATTACTATTTTCCTTTGTTACTAGGAACTATAGGATATTAGAGATTTTGTGACTCAAATTAAGCCAGATGGTTGCGAAATACAAAAATTTCATAATATAGAAAATCATATTTTTAATTATTTTAAAAATGATTTCCAATCAATATTTGATGCATTTAGTTATAAATTACTTGAATTTCAGTTATATTATGTTAATGAATTTTTTTTTATTTTCATATATTTTTATTGTGTTAATTCTATGTTATTAGTATTGTTAAAGGACTATTAAATTATATTCAGATTTACAAAAAAAAATTACTATTAAATGTTAAAAATTAAATATTTGTAAAAATGTATATTGCTACTGATTTTTATGTTTTAATCCTTAATTTCATATTTATAGTCAATTTTAGACATTTTGCTATATTAAAAGAAAACATTTTATATGCTAAAAAAAAATACTTTCAAATAGTTTCGAATTGTCGAAAGGTTGCCACATAACCAATTTGCTTATAATGCCCCATGGAAGGTTTGCCTTATTAAATTTATGTTTTTGGGTTAAATTCTAATTTTTGAATATTTCTTGAATTATTAGGATATTAAGAGAATTAAGTGATTTGTTGCTTAAGTTTCAGTTTAATGCATCAGGTAAGTCACTATTGAGAATAGTAATTTTTGTTTACCATGTCATCGGTGATATACTTATGTCTCATTACACTAAAAGGGTTACTATGATTTTTGTTCTATCTCATTACACTGATGGGTTAATTATGATTGTCAGTGCAACAATCTAGTTGCTTCTATTATACTTCTGTCACATTGCATAATAGGAAAAATTCTTATTCTAACCTATGCCACAGAGATTAAGTGTGGTCATAATATATTATAATAGACTAAATAAATTTATAGTTTTGTGATATTTGATTTCATTTTATGATTTGAGAATTTGATTTTTAGAATATTTTTGTGAATACAAGATTACCTAAAATATTTTTAAATCATTTAGTTAATGTTTTGGCCTAAGTGCTTTGTGGCATGCTTAATCCAACTAAAGGGATATTGGTTACTTATT